CTTCCCACACCTGGGCTCAGTACCAAACATGGAAGCTGGCTGTTAGGGTGTGGTCTGCTCTCTGGCAAGCCCGAGGCATGGGCTGCTCTTCCTGCCACAGGTACACGCACACGCACACGCACACACACACACACAGCACTCAGGTGAGACACTTCCCCAATACCTGTGCCCTCTGCTGACTGTGCTGCCACGATTTCTAGTCTGAAAGGCGCTTTTCCATAATACGGTTCACAGTGATTTAGGAAATGACTCAAAATAAATGAATTCTTGACATGGTGAGATGCTGGGGACATTGGATCCTTCTTACTTCCAGTTCAGGAAAACAAGAGGCTTTGCCAAACGAAAGCAGACCAAGCCCTGGGGGAAAAATTTGCATTTGTGCCAGTAAACTCTTGAGCAATAAACACATGGTTTGATCGCCTTAAACTTTTCTTCTTCATAATTCAGTGTCTGGGCAGGCTTAACTAGCAGAGGGGTGCATGGGGGGATTTTTACACCGGTCAGCAACACAATAATGATTCTTGAAGGCAAAATAGAAAATATTTGCAAAAAATGAGCAATGATAGGATTTCTCATCACACAGCTCTGCACCACCACACTCAACCCTGCACACACTCATCTCTCTTTTTACAATAAAAACATCTCCAATTGTCCATCATGCAGAAAATTGTTCTCGCTCCTCCTTTCCCTCTCCTCCTCTCTCTCACTCTCTCTTTCTGTCTTTCTCTTCCGGGAAGAAATTCTTCAGTGTCAGACACTAGAGATCATCCAATACAGGCCATCAATTTTAAAGTCAGGCAAATCTGGGTTTGAATCCTAGCTTTGGCACCTTAGGCAAGTTATTTAAACTCTCTGTCTCAATTATTTCATATGTAAAATGGGCTTAAAAATAATACCTAGCCCTAGCCGGGGCACAGTGGATAGAGCATCGGCTTGCAGACTGAAGGGTCCTGGGTTCGATGCCAGTCAAGGGCACATACCTTGGTTGCAGGCTCCTCCCACATCTGGGCCCTGGTCGGGGCACGTGCGGGAGGCAACCAATTGATGTGTTTCTCTCACATTGGTATTTCTCTCTGTTTTTCCCTCTCTAAAAATCAATGGGAAAATATCCTTAGGTGAGGATTTAAAAAAATAAAAAGAAGAAGAATTAACAGACTGTAATAAGAATAATAATACCTAGCATTCATTGGTTTGAGGGTTGAATGAACTAGTGTTCGTTCCTAAGGTCCTCAGCTCAGAGCCAGGCCCAAAGCCCATGTTTCCAAAATGTTCCTTGTTGTTCGCATCCAACCCAAGACCTTCATTTTATAGACAAGGGAACTATCATCAGAGAAAGTGATTTCTCTACGGTCATATGGCCAGTTAGTGGCAGAGCCAAGACTAGATCCCGGCAGCCGATCCCAGTCCTCTTCCTACGGTACCACACACAGCATCGTTCATTCATCAACTTCAAGCAGAATGACGTTGGGACATTTTCCAGGTGGTCACATTCATGCCGAGCTGATGATGGTGCCAGGGCCAGGGCCGAGAGCATCCTGGATTGCTGGCTCCCCGAGATCAGGGGCCAGCTGAGCAGGAAGGGGAAGCAGCTGTGAATGCCACGTTGACACACTGCCTCTGGGGTGATCAGCCCTGATAAAGCTGATTTCCACAGAGCGCTAAGCAACCGTCCTCTCATTGCTCATTTATCTTTTGGAAGCTGAAGCTCCAGAAAAGAGAAGTTGATAGGATGGTGTCACCATCAAACATTTTCAAACGCTCCGGAAGCAGACAAACCTTTGTGTCCAACCAGCCCCAGTCCGCACCCCTGAGGGTCTCTCTCTGTCTCCAAAGCCCCCCGCCCAATGCTGAGAGCCTGTGTGATTGCCCAGTGGTTCTCAACCTTCCGGCCCTTTAAATTCAGTTCCTCATGTTGTGACCCAACCATAAAGTTATTTTCGTTGCTACTTCATAACTGTAATGTTGCTACTGTTATGAATCATCATGTAAATATCTGATATGCAGGATGGTCTTAGGCGACCCCTGTGAAAGGGTCGTTCAACCGCCAAAGGGGTCGCGACCCACAGGTTGAGAACCGCTGGCCTATCCTGTGACCCTGTTGGGCAAATTGGCTTCTGTACCGATGACATCTTAAGAAGCAAGTTGCTCCAGTGATGGCCAGTTCTCTGAGGGATAGTCTCCATGTTCCTGGAGATGGTATAGATCAAGCCCCCTTCCCCTTTTGGGTGGGGAGATCCAACATCCTGCTGCTGCCCAAGACTGCTTCGGTCCGTAAGTTCCTTTATAAACTCTTGGTTTAATTCTGGAGTTGTCAGCCTCTTTCTCTAGTCTCTCAGCCCCATATTCCTTTGGAGTCGTTCCAGTACACCTCGGAAATTTTTCACAACAGCCGTGTTTTTGCCCACATGGTACAATTTTACCTCAAATGCTCCTCCCTTTCCCTTTCCTTAAAGGACACACACACACACACACACACACACACACACACCATCACACATGTGCCCATGGGCTTTTGTTCCCTATGGAAAGTATTTAAATTGTCCACAGCAACATTCAATTCCAGCATAGGAGGATCCAGTAACCTGCAGTCAGGGCAGTACAGTTTCTGGTGTTTCCAGAGAGAAGAGAATCCATTAATTCTGACAAATGTCCCCATGCTCCTGCCTCTAACCTTTCCGAAATCCAACCAGACCCCGGGGCTCCTCACAGACCACCCAGGCTGTCTCTGGTCCAGTCAGTGGCCAGGTGGCCCACAGTTGCCCAGACCAACCCGCTGTTTTTTAAGCCTGAGCCAGCCGAACCCTCTCCATTTAGTAAACAGAGGTGAGGGGGAGACGGGCAGGGGCCTGGAACATGGGAGAGGAGGGAGGGGCCACGGTTATGCTCATTTCAACCCTTTAGTAACAATGATGATAATTCTGCAGAAAGCTCACTGGACCGGAAGTTAGGAGCCTGGGCCCTAATCCTGGCTCGGCCACTGAATGAACTCCATGCTCTTGGGCTGGTCACTTGCCTCTGCGCCTCAGTGTTCTCTGCTCTGTGCTTGGGTTCGACTTCATGGCCTGGAAGAGGCTTCTAGTGCCAGGTCTTTAGAGTGACGATCTTCAGTCCTGATGACACATTATAGCTTTTCAAGTACTTCCACATGCCGTATTTTGTGTATCTAATCCTCCTTAAAACACAACAGTGTAGGAAGGGTATTTGGCAAATGAAGAAATTAAGGTACCGATTGGTTGGGCAAACCATGGCAGAGCTTAGTGCTAAAAAGAGTTAGTTCGACTTCCGGCCACCTGTGGTCCACACTGCCCTCTTGGGTGCAGACTGTCTCCCCAACGAAAGGCCAAAGAGAAGGGCTCCTTGTAAGTGGGCGAACGACAAAGAGGCTTTGTTCCCTTAGGGTCAGGGGTCAAGGATCTGGGCTGTTCTCCAAACTCTTTTGATGTCTTTTTAACATTTTAGAGCCCAAGGCAGGATTCAACTTAGCTCCAAACCCTGTCTGTTTCTTGGGCTTTGGAGATGGACACCTTGATCTTGGAGTTCTAGCTTCCAGAATCATCTATAATAACAAAAGCATAATATGCTAATTAGACCAGACAACCAATGACCTTCTGGACGTCCTTCTGGATGACCTTAGGGATGAAGCCGCGGTGACGGGGGCTGAGACAGAGGTGGTTAGGGCCAATCAGGCAGGTGGGTGAGCAGTTAGGGGTAATGAGGCAGGCAAGCAGAGTGGTTAGGGGTGATCAAGTAGGCAGACAGGCGGGTAGTTAGGAGCCAGCGGTCCCAGATTGCGAGAGGGTGCAGGCCGGGCTGAGGGACCCCCTCCCCCATGCACAAATTTTGTGCACCGGGCCTCTAGTGAGAAAATAAATTTCTATTGTTTAAGCCACCCAGTCTGTGGTCCTTTGCGTGGCAGTCTGAGTAAACTAATCCAGGCACCTGCTCCAGAACTCTCACCCCCAGCACCTCTCTGGCCCTCGAGGGCTGCCTCTGTTTTCTCCTCTGAACCTCCCCCTACCCTATAGCCCTGGATTCATCAAGTCCTGGGGGGGGGAGGGGGAACTGGCTCCACAATCCACTGCCAAATCTTCTCATTTCAGGGCTTTTCGGGGGAGGGTGTGTGTGCTGATTTCTGTTTCAAAGTGGACTGGGGGCAGTAAACTGCCATTGGGACTCCTAAGCGGCTGAGGAGAAACCAGGAAATACAGACAAAACAAACTGATTAGTGCTGAGTTAGAGCCCTGGCTGGTGCTGCCAAGTGGTTAGAGCGTTGGCCAGAACATCAAAGGGTTGTGGGCTTCATTCCTGGTCAAAGGCACATACCTGGGTTGCAGGTTGCATCCCTGGCCCTGGTCGGGGTATATGTGGGAGGCAACCAATCAATGAGTCTCTCTCACATCGATGTTCCTCTCTCTCTCTCTCCCTCCCTCCCCCCTCCCCCCACCCTTCCATTCTCTCTAAAAAAAAAAAAAAAAAAATCAATGAAAAAAAAATCCTCGGGTGAGGATTAAAAAGAAAAATTGAGTTGGAGTCCTGCCCGCATGTGACAACTGAGCTTCTGCCCCCCAGGAGTCTTCAGACAGACGCATGGTAACTAACAGTCAGTAGGTGGTTCCCACGTGTCCGGGGTGGGGGGTGGGAGGCGCTCCCTCAATTAATTAATACGGGGCTTCCTGGGCCAGGGTGGGTGCCTGACTCTAGGAGATGCTGAGCCCTGGACAATCCCCTTCGCCTTAGGATCTGGGCGCACAGATTCCCAAGTCCCACCCGGATTCCTCCCACCCCCAGGAGTGGAGGGGAACGCCCGCCCGCCCGTGACACCGGCTGTGTTTGCTCTGGGCCTGGCTATCGACTCCAGGGGCCTTATCGCTGGGTCCGCAGACGGGGCTGGGCGGGGCTGCGTGAGGGAGATGTGGTCCCACTGCCCCGGGCACAGAAGGAAGGAGAAGTGGAGGGAAGGCGGCGGCAGAGCCAGCGAGAACGAAGCTGCTGGCTGTACCATGAAAACGCTTCTGCTTTTGCTGCTGGTGCTCCCGGACCTGGTGTGGGCCTCAGGCTCCCTGCACAGGTGAGGCCACGTCCCCGCACTGTGTCCGGCCGGGGCGGGGCCCTGCTCTCACGCTCAGGGCTCCCCTGGGAGAGGAGAGCCAATGGGGAAATAGGGAGGAGAAGAAACAGGGCCTGGAAAAGGTTGACCAAGCGGCCACCTTGTGGGAGTTAGCCTGAGTCTCCAGCCCAGCACCAGCCACTCCTGGGCCTCCACCTCTGACGGAGCTGCCTGCCTGAGCCCCAGGGGCCTTCTCACGTTGGAAACAGCAGGACTGTGCAGCTCAGAGGACCTGAGTGCTCCCCAAGGGGCTGACCACTGCCCGAGAGGTGTGCTGTCCCTTTGAGGCAGCCCTCATGGTGTTCATGTAGAAGTTCAGACCATCCCACAGCCCCATCGCCCCTGATCTCCAAGAGCCCGTCTCTGAGAGGTGGGGAGGGGCATCTCAAGTCTAAGGGTCTGAGGGTCTCCAGGAGGCTGGGGCAGAGGGGCCCTGATCCTGGCACACTACCTTGCAGACCCCTCCTGAGTAACTTCCCAATTAACCTCCGGGAAATGGGGCGGGGGAGGGGAGTCAGAGAGAGGCAGGAATGCCTCTCTTCCTCACAGGGGGCTTTGTCCTCAGGGTGCCCCTCAGGAGGGGTCAGTCCCTCCGAAAGAAGCTGCGAGCCCGGGGCCAGCTCTCCGAGTTCTGGAAATCCCAGCATCTGGACATGATCCAGTTCACCGAGTCCTGCACGATGGACCAGAGTGTCAACGAGCCCCTCGTCAACTACTTGGATGTGAGGCCTCCTGGGCAAAGGCTGGGAGGGGAGAGGGGGGAGGGGGGAGGGGGGACACAGCCTGGCATGGCGAGGGGGCAGCAGCACTGAGGCAGTGTGGATTTCTCCTCTGGGATGACCCATATGGACTGATGCCCGGGTCCCCACGGACTTGGCCGAATAAGCCCCAGGGCACCTGAATGTGTGCACCTCTGTGGGAGGGAAGGGAGGAGCAGGGCCAGCCTCCCTGCCTTGCTCCCAATGACTCTCATAATAATGAGAATCAGGATAGTGATTAGATTTCCTCCCTCTCAGCCCTTCCTCTGCTCCTTCTACCTGTGATGGCCACTTCCCAGGTCTCTGAGCCCCAGTCTGTGCTGGCCCAGGCCCTGCCCACGGAGCTCTCCCTAGGTCCCTCCCCCTCCCCAGCACCCACACCCTGCGCCCTTCCCTCCCTTGTCTGCAGATGGAATACTTTGGCACCATCTCCATTGGCTCCCCACCGCAGAACTTCACCGTCATCTTTGATACCGGCTCCTCCAACCTCTGGGTCCCCTCCGTGTACTGCACCAGCCCGGCCTGCAGTAAGTGGTCCAGGAGCCCCCACAGGGAATGGCTGAAGGCCAGGCCTGGGATCTGGAGCCTGGCACCCTGCGGGGAGGGGTTGGGCTCCAGTAACTGGCCATCCCTGCACACCAGCCTCCCCTCTCCTCCTCTGCGTCTACCCTGGGACTGCCTTCGGCAGAAACAGGGCTGGGTCAGGAAGAAAGTTAAAATTGATTGCTATCCAAGCTAGCAACTTCCATACTGACCAGAATCAGCAGGGGGAAACCACCACCAAAAAATTACACATTTTTGAATACTCCCCTCGGAGCACCTCAAGGAATGCGGGGGACAGTTCCATTGCAGTGGCTCTTTCTGGGCAGGTAGGTGGGTCAGGTTCCAGTGTGGACTGTTCAGCTGCATCCAGGAGGCCTGGTGACCTTGCTCCCACATACCAGAGTGGGGGCTGGTGGGAAAATGGGTGGTGGACCCATTTGGCCAGAGGTCACTCAGAGGTCTTTGTGAAAACTGGAAAAGGAAGAGCTAAGGAAAGGTGTCTCAGTCCATGTAGGACAACGTGGCAACACTCAAGGTGTCCATGGGGCCCTGGCCTGTTTGGCTCAGTGGAGAGAGCGTCAGCCTGTGGACTAAAGGGTTCTGAGTTCGATTCCGGTCAGGGGCTTGATTCCCAGTGTGGGGTGTGCAGGAGGCAACCAATCAGTGATTCTCTCTCATCATTGATGTTTCTAGCTCTCTCTTTCTCTTTCCCTTCCTCTCTGAAATCAATAATAGATAGATAGATAGATAGATAGATAGATAGATAGATATAGAGATAGAGATAGAGATATAGATATAGATATAGATATAGATATAGATTAAAAAATAGAAAGGTGTCCATGGGTTGTGCAAGATGTTGGGAGTGATTTCCTGGGATGGCAAGTGTTTATCCTGAGTTTCTTTTGAATGCCAGTCTCTGACGCACAGTGGTCGGCAGAGGCTGATGCCTGGCGTTTATTCTGTGTGCCCCAGGAGCTCACAGGCAATTACGTTCGCCCAGGGACAACTATTTGGCTTCTGTCAGCCCACCACATATGTCTAGAGGGGGATGTAAGGGTCACTAGGGAGGGCCATGGCCAACCTTTCCAGATGCACCTGCTCATCACTGTGTCCTCAGACCGGTCAGTTAGGGAGATTTGGTTCCCACTGCCCCGTGGGAAAGAAAGGAGCAGTGGCAAGGAGGGCTGAGGCAGAGCGAGAGAGGAGCTGCTGGTTGGGCCAACAGCGGAAGTTAGGGAAGCAGCTCTGCACGCTGGGGTGTCGGGGCGGGGATGGTGGCAGCGAGCTGGTGGCCCAGGCAAGAGCGGCATCCTTGCTTTCCAGAGACACACCCCAGGTTCAGCCCTTCCCGGTCCAGCACGTACAGTGCCGCAGGGAGCCACTTCTTCATTCAGTACGGGACGGGGAGCTTGTCCGGAGTCATCGGAGCCGACCAGGTCTCCGTGAGTATAATTCCTTCATGTTCCCTCTCTAGGTCAGGAACTTGGGAGACAGAACACCGTTCAGAGCTCTTAGGGGAGCAGTTTCAGATCTGCCGCAGGAAGAGGTGGAAGCAAGGAGCTGGAGCTGGCTTCCAGGGAAGGGGGAGGCCTGGCCTGGCCTGAGATGCGGCCGTGGGCCAGTCTGTGCCATGTGCTGGGTCCTAGAGAGGCGGTGAGGGAGGGGGGATTCCTGCAGGACACAGGGCACCTGGTGGCAGGGTTCACAACTGGACCAACGGCTCCAGGGCACCAAGGAGACAAGACCAGGCCTCCATCTTGAAGGAAGAAGATGTCCAAGCCGGGGCAGACGGTGGGAACTCAGTTACTGAAATAAGGCAACAAGGTAGGGGCTGGGAGTCCAATCATAGAGACAAGGCAGAATCCAAGTCCCAGGTCAGCCCTGAACTCGATGCTGAGCTCGTGAGCTGCTCCTTAAACTCCCTTTGACCAAAGGTCCCATGGGTCCCAGAACTGTGGGAACCTGACCAAGGTGGGGACAGAGAGCCAGGGGAGCCCCGGTCCTGCCCTACCCAGGTTTATGGGCACAGGAGCAGTAGTCCCCGCTTTCCCACGGTTTCCCTTTCTGTGGTTGTAGTTATCCTCAGCCAACCACAGCCTGAAAGTATGAAATAAAAAATTCCAGAAATAAACAATTCCTAAGTTCCAAATTGCACGCTGATCTGAGGAGCAGGATGAAGTCTTGTGCTACTTCACTCTGTCCCACCTGGGATGTGGATTGTTCCTTCATCCAGCGTATCCACACTGTATGCGCTCTCTGCCCATTAATCACTTAGTAGACAACTCCGTTATCAGATCAGTTATCAAAGGGAGAAAAAGAGATCACTTTAAGTAACTTTTATTAGTGTATTGTTTTGTTCTATTTTATTATTAGCTATTGTTAATCTCTTACAGTGCCTAACTTATAAATTAAACTTTATTATAGGTACATATAGGAAAAAAAACAGCATATGTAGGGTTCAGTATTATCCTTATTTTCAGGCTTCCACTGGAGGTTTTGGAATGTCCACCCTGTGGATAAGGGGGGACCATTGTTTATGCCCAGGCCTTTGGGGAAATAGAGGCTGACCCACTCCTGATGAGCACTGTTACAGTTCTGGGGGGTCCTGCCACAGGGCTCAGACTCCATCAACATCCCTTTAAAGTGGGTGGGAGTAGAACACATGAAGTGAAACAAGAGCAAGAAACACAGCGTCTATGTAAAAAAATACCACATACAGATAAAACAACACACTGTACTTTCTATTAGAACATATGTAAAGGCGCAAATGACTGCTTAGAAGGCTACGTCACATTCCTAACTGATCATCATAGTTACCCCTGGGAAGCAGAGGCGGGCATGGAAGGGGAATTGTGTCCTTTACTGCTGCTTATCTGCTGGCTCGCTGGGTGGTGTGGGGCAACAGCCAAGCCCACGGCCACTCCAGCTTCCCTTGGTTCCTCCTTCAAGTTTCCTGGCTCCCAGCCCAGCTGCACGTTTAACTCCGTAACGGACAGTGGCGGCAAGGGCTACAGGACACGCCCAGCATTGAGGCTTAGAGGCAGTGAGAGAACAATGTGGGTTCTAGTCCACCCTCAACCTCGAAGTTCCAATTCACCCTTCTCCCACCTGACACCTGTCTTCCCTGACTGACTGCCAAACTGTAGACTTCAGTCTGCAGCACCAGGACAAAGCGAATTCCCACTGTACACCATGTAACCAGCACCCGCCATGGCATACAGTCAACTGTCCAGAATACAATCCTTTGTGTATGCAGCTCCTAATGGCTCTGCTTCTCTGATACAGATAAGCAAGGACGTGCCAAAAATTGTGGATGCAGTTAATGCAACCCTTACGAGACAATTATAGCCTGAAATGTATATACTAGAAAAGCTGAAAACCAACCATTTAAGCAATAAAAAATAAGAAAACAAGCAAACCACAAGCAACAACAAATCAAACCCAAAGAAAGAAGGATGGAAATAAATAGAAGAATGGGATGGATGTCAATTAAACAGAAAAGTCATACAATAAAGAAAATCAACAAAACCAAGAATTAACTCTTTACAAAGATTAATAAAATTCATAAGCCTCTAGCAAAATTAATAAAAAACTGAAATAAAATACAACTTAATATTAGAAATGAAAAATAATGCATTAATAAAGACCCTGAAACATTAAAATGATAATAGGATATCAAGAATAATTTTATATTGATAAATTTGACAATTTTTTTTAAAAAATGGTAAATGCCTTGAGAAATACAGCATGCTAAAACTGACACAAGAAAAACATAGAAAATATGATACTCCAATGTCTATTTAAATATTGACTGTTATTAAAAACCTCTTCACAAGAAAACTCCAGGGCCAGGTAACCTCAGTGGTAAATTCTTCCAAATAAATAGCATCAACCTTACACAAATTCTCCCAGATAACTGATAAAGAAAGAACACTTGTCCTAGCTGGTTTGGCTCAGTGGATAGAGCATCAGCCTACAGACTGAAGGGTCCCGGGTTGGATTCCGGCCAAGGGCACATGCCTGGGTTGTAGGTTCGATCCCCAGTGTGGAGTATGCAGGAAGCAGCTGACCAATGATTCTCTGTCATCATTGATGTTTCTATTTCTCTCCCTTCCTCTCTGAAATCAATAATATATATATATATATATGGAACACTTCATAATATCATGATGTTTTATAATAACATCAAAAACATCGAATACCTACAAGTATTGAATACCTACAAGTAACAAAATAATGTGCAAGATCTCTACTCTAAAAACTGCAAAATATTACTGAGTGAAATTAAGAAAGATCTATATAAATTGAAGATAAACCATGCTTATGATTCAGTATTATAAATAAGTCAATTTTTCATCAATCAAAACAAGAGCAATTTTTATTAGAAATTGACAAGCCAATTCTAAAATTTATATGAATATGTAATACAATCTAGATGAATAAAAATACTACCAAGTATAAGACATTATGAATATATAATAATTTAGATATGTAATATTGACACAGGATGGGCAAATAGAAAAACAGAACAAAATAGAGAAACTAGTCACACAGTCACCTGACCTACACTGAGCATGATACTGCAGTGGAGGAAATGATGGCGTAGTTATTAAATGGTACTAGGTCATCTGGATATCCATATAGAAAAAAAAAGGAAAAGAATCTATAATGACTCCTACCTCACACATCATAGAACTTCTCATAGACTATAGATATAAATGGGAAAAGTGAAACAATAAAGCTTTTAAAAGAAAACATAGAAAAATATCTTTATGACCTTAAGGTAGGCAAAATTTTCTGAAGTTACAAAACCCACTAATTACAAATAAAAAGATTGATAAATTTGACTATATTGAAATACATATCTTCTGTTCATCAAAAAACACCATTAGAGAGTAAAAACGCCAGCCACAGTCCGGAGATGTTTCTAATATATACATCCAACAAAGGACTTGATTCCAATCAATAAGAAAAATGCAGACAACCTACTTCACAAAAGGAGCTATGCAACGTCCAATGTCATTAGTCACCAGGAAATACAAATGAAAACCAAATGTACCCGCAGCATATCCACCAGAAGACTGAGAAGGAAAAGAAGGCAACGTCCAGTGTTGGTGAAGATATGAAGCTACTGGCAACGGAACTCTTAAAATATTGGTACTGAAAACATCGATTGGTACAAATCACTTTGGAAAATTCTGTCAATATTTATTCAGTTCTGTCAGTATTTACGCATACTCTATGACCTAACAATTTTACTCCCAAACATATATCCAACAGAAATATGTACACGTGTTCACCCAAAGACAAGTACAAGCTGCATTATTAGCAATAGTCAAGTACAGGAAGCAACCCAAATATGCCTCATGGTAGAATGCATACATGCTGATGGCATATTCAGACTGTGTAATACAAAGACAATGAACAAATTAAAACAGCGTGCAACAAGCGTAATGTTGGGTGACAGAAGCCAGCTACCAAAGAATTCATACTGTATGATTCCATTTATATAAAATTAAAAAATAAGTAAAGCCAATACAGGCTGTTAGAAACCAGGAGACGGGTCACTTGTGAGGAAAGGTGTGATAATTGGCAGGGTGCTGGGGGGCTCTGGGGGTTGCCATGCCCTGCTGCTCAGTTTGGGAGCTTGCTCACATGGGTGAGTACAGTTTGTGAACACTCACTGAACGGCACACCTACGACTTCTGTATTATACTTCGGCAAAAAGGGTTTCCATTTAAACATTGAGTGGGACTATGGCGAAAATCGTCGTGCCCATTTAATCAAGAAAGGTTGAGTCGGAGAAGAATTAGCTTCAGGAGAGAGGAGAAGCTGGGGATCGGAGGCCCTTTGCCAAAGAGCTCCTGGGCAAATTCCCTCTGGGCTTTCTCCCGTCAGGTGGAGGGGCTGACTGTGGTCGGCCAGCAGTTTGGAGAGAGTGTCACAGAGCCTGGCCAGACCTTTGTGGACGCAGAGTTCGATGGCATCCTGGGCCTGGGATACCCCTCCTTGGCTGTTGGAGGGGTGACTCCAGTGTTCGACAACATGATGGCCCAGAACCTGGTGGACGTACCCATGTTTTCTGTCTACATGAGCAGGTAAGGCCCGTCAAGCCTGCCAGGCTGAGGTCAGTTATACCTCCAGGGGGACAGCACGGGGCCGCTGAACGAGCACTGGACGTAGCAGTCACACACCGGGGCTGGATCTCTTGTTAGTCCAGCTGTGTGATTTGGGGCAAAACACTGAACCTCTCTGACTATCGAGAAAATGGGATTTGCCTCAGAAAGTCGTTGTGAAGAGCACTTTGTAAACTGTAGCACGCTGGACTCATTTAAGGAATACCTGGAATTAGATACAGTGGGGCCTTGACTTACGAGTTTAATTCGTTCCGAGACCGAGCTCGTTAAGGAGCTCGTTAACTCAAATTACTCTATCAACTCAATGCAAAAAATTGGCCGAAAGACAGCTGGTATCTCAAAAAACTCGTTAGTCGGGACACTCGTAAGTCAAGGCCCCACTGTATTCATTTATGCAGTGAATAACTACTTCTCAAGCCCCTCTTATGTGCTGAGCACAATGCTGGGCACTGGGAATACAGTGAAGCTAGAAAGACCGTCCCCGACCTCAAGAAGCTTAATCCCAGTGGGGGAGGCAGGAAAAAATTTACAATAAGCTGATAGTAAAATAATCACATGTTCATGGGTGGATAAGCAAATGTGATATATACATACAATAGAATACATTCAGCACATGCCACCACAGGGATACATCTGGAGGACGTTATGCTAAGTGAACTAAGTCTGTCACTAAGTCTGTCGTATGATTTCACTTATAGGAAGCACCTAGAGTGGTCAAATTCATAGAAACCGATAGTAGAATGGTGGTTGCCAGAGACTGAGGAAGGGGAAATGGGAAGTTATTGAATGGCTGTAAAATGTTGGTTTTGTAGGATGAAAGGCTCTAGAGACTGGCTGCACAACGGTGTGCATATACTTAACACGACTAAGCTGTACACTTATAATGGTTACGATGGGCCCGGGCTGGGGGGCTCAGTTGTTTGGAGTGCCGTCCCATGCACGGAAGGGTTATGGGTTTGATTCCTGGTCAGGGCGCATAACCAGGCTTGTGGTTCATTCACAAATCATTGGGCAGAGCTGTCTCTCTTCTTTTGCCCACAAAGTCCAGACTAACCGACGCACAGTCATTGGAAGCCTGGTCTCAAAGCCCGAGCTTGTGTTTCTGCCTGTCTAGGACTAGGTACTTGGTGGGAGTGATCAGACCATGAGGCGGGAGCGCATTCCCAGGGTTTTCCCGTGGCCCTTCCTTGGCAGCCTCTCTTTCTCTCCCTGCAGTGACCCAGAAGGCGGTGCAGGGAGCGAGCTGATTTTCGGAGGCTATGACCACTCCCATTTCTCTGGGAGTCTGAACTGGGTCCCGGTCACCAAGCAAGGCTACTGGCAGATAGCACTGGACACGTGAGTATCCTCCACAGAGTTTGGTGTTGAGGGAAGAACTCACATTGACCTGAATGGAAGTGCTGGTCACTGGGAGAGGATGCCAGGAGCCTGCGTGAGGCTAGAGGCGTGGAGGTGCCGAGCAGAGGTGCAGGAAGGAGCATCAGTAACCAGGGTGACAGGCACGCGGTACCAACGACCAGCTTCCTTCCTTGTGGGAGAGATGCGCCTTCAACTCAACCCATGGTAAATACAAACACTCCACCAGCTGCTTCTTGTTCACCCAACATAAATTAACACACAGACAAGGGCTGATTGAAATGGGTGCAGAGTGAATTGGATTCAGATTGTGCCTGCATAAAGGATGCACGGAAGGTGAGACGCACATACAAGCGACTGCATGTAAAGAGGACAGTGATCAGTGCTCCATGAGATGTGCCACCAAGGTGACCCAGCAGACAGGGCAAGGCAGCTTCTGTCTGAAGAAATCCTTGGATTTCATGGAGGTGGCAGCATTGACTGAGCGCCCCCGGTCCCCTACACACGCACCTGGGCATGGAGCAATGGGAAAGTGGGATTGGATGTCTGACACCTTCCTGGCACTGTATTAGACTGTGGTGAGCTGGCACGGCCATGGCATACTCAGCCCCAGGGCGCCTTATGTGCTGCGCCAGCTCAGCCAGGTTCGGTGACCCTGAGAGGGGGTGGTGAAGGATTGAGAAAAGACAGGCAAGAGAAGAAAGCTGGGTCTGGGTGGGACGCTGTCCTCTCTGATGGAGAGAGACAACACCACGGACTACAAGCCGTGTCTTTATTTTATAGTCAGATTCCAAGAGGCAAAGTAAGGGCGTGGTCAAGATGTTTACAACAGTCTCATGGGTTTCGAATCTACTCAATTACATGCACCTGAACTCTATCAAGCCCACATTACTCAGGCATGTGGGGCCACGTGTTCGGACCATAGGTTCAAGCTTACAACTATAGCTGTTGGCTATAATTGTGCTGGGAGGGCTTTGCCCTCCAAGCTGGGACTTGCACATGGCCATGAGAGGACTGTGCCCTCTTATTAGTTCGAGGCTTGAACCTGTCCAAACAGTGTAGCCACTCTCCACATTAGACAATTCAGGGACTCAAAAAACGTAATTCAAGTGTCAACTCAGCCAGGAATAAGTTCCTGCAAGGTGCCAGCCATGTGCCAGGCATGTGCTTCAGGTATCAGAGAGCTCAGCAGGGAGTGAGAGCTAGAGGCTGGAGAGAGGGGACAAGAAGCGAAGAGGTGAGGGACTGACCACGCTTCCTTTGCCCTCAGAATCCAGGTGGGGGGCGCCGTGATGTTCTGCTCAGAAGGCTGCCAGGCCATTGTGGACACAGGGACCTCGCTCATCACAGGCCCCCCGGCTGAGATCAAGCAGCTGCAGAAGGCGATAGGGGCAGAGCCCGTGGATGGAGAAGTGTGTGCCTATCTGGGTGGGAGGGGGGAGGGGAGAGGGCCTCTCTTGGGAGACAGGAGATCCTAAACTGATCCTCTGTGGGGTGTTTTAGTATGCCGTGGAGTGTGACAATCTCAATGTCATGCCGGATGTCACCTTCACCATCAATGGAGTCCCCTACACTCTTCAACCAACTGCCTACACCCTGCTGGTAAGAACTGTTTCCTCACTTGGGGTGGTGAACACACAATACAATGTACAGATGATGTGTTATAGAATGGTACACCTGAAACCTGCATCATTGTATTAACCAGTGTCACCCCAATACAATTTTTTTAAAAAGCACACACACACCACATACACACACACACACATACATACACACACACACACATATATTCACAATATAGCAGAAAAGAATGAAAGGACTGTTTCCTCATTCTGCAAGTCACAGGGCCTTCCCCAGATACCTGCCACTTCCCCTTTTCAAACAGTTGCCTGCACTCAGGCCACATCTATCCCAAGTCCCCCCCCCCCCATCTTACCCTGCACTGAAGTGGCACTTCCTCAGGGAAGGACACAGCTGCCCGTGTGTGGTGGAAAGACCACTGGGCTGGTTCTCTAACTTCCTGCTCGGCCATGAAGCAGCAGCAAACCTGGAACAGGCCATTCAATGAGGTTCTCTGACATTGTCATTAACCTCAACCACCAAGTCAGACTGGGGGATGCTATTACCCCATTTTATAGACCAGGACATTGAGACCCAGAGAGTTAATGGTTCTAGATGTGAGATGCTTGGATTGGGAGGTACAGAATAAGGTTATATCTCTTCTAATATATATACAGGTTAACATGCTCCTCCAACCAGAGAATGCCTTGGTGCAGTAGATGCGTAAGTGTGAAGGGAGAGGTAGAAAGGGGACCTCCAGGTGTTTGAGAAATCCATGACCACCTCATACACAGTGGGCTCAGATTTTCAGTATCATACTTCTTTGGTGACACACTTTAGTGCACTAACCTTGCCCAAGATCACCCACAGCATCAGCGTGACTGCGCCAGAATCGAGGTGCTAAGGGATAGACTGAGGGCTTTAGGGATTTACCTACCCCCACACCTTGATTGCCATTAACCCCTTCCCTAAGCCACTTTTACTATTACAGTTACAGTAAAAGTGAAAACAAATGTCTTTTTAAAAAATTTTTCTTTATTGATTAAGGTATTACATATGTGTCCTTATGGCCCCATTGCCTCCCCCACTCATGCCCCCACCCCCCTGTTGTCTGTGTCCATTGCTTAGGCCTATATGCATGCATACAAGTCCTTCGGTTGATCTCTCCCCCTTACCCCCACCCTCCCCTACCTTCCCTCTGAGGTTTGAGCATCTGATCGATGCTTCTCTGTCTCTGGATCAGGAAAACAAATGTCTTACTTTAAAACACAGCTTCATGTCAAGTCCCCTAAACTCCTCCAATAAAGGAATTCTGCAGCTGCCACTGTGACCACCACACTGAGGACAAGCTAGACATTTCAACTGCCAAATCCACACCCATCACCACTCCAGCATCCCCTCCCACCTTCACCCTCTGTGAGTCCCTGCTCACCCCCACGCCCTTTCCTGTACCCAATATGGTGCCACTGTCCTTTTCTGCCAGCACATTTCCATCATAGCCACCTCAACCCATCACGGACGCTGTAATACCTTTGCATTCTTATCCCCGTCCTCTCAAGAAGGCTCTTTAGCCCTCCGCAAATCTCCCCACTTCCTCATCAGCAACCTCAAACTTCCAGTGGTTGTTGGAAAGACCACACCTGTCGGTTAGATCCCAACTGTTTGCCAAACTGAAAAATAAGATTGGGGGAGGTTCTCATGGAGTAAGGGATGCCTACTTGCCTTACACCTAGTAGGAGCCTCTCAAGTGATTCTTCCCAGAACAAGAAAATAGCAGTGGCTAGCCATTTATAAGCGGTTTCTCTCCCTTAAAGAATTTGACTTGAGCTCCACCAGAAACTAAAGAAACCAGAGTTTAAGTCAAGGTCTTCTAATGCCAAACCTTTTGTTCTTCCAGCCGTGAGTCAAGCTTTTGGTTTTCCCAATGGTGAAATGGTGTGGGGGGGGGTGGGAGTGTATAATAGATGAACAATTCTCAAAATTGTAGAACTTAGAAGCCCAGACCCACATCTATCAAACACTTTAACCCTTTGCGGTCCAATTTTATTTTTGGAATTCAAACAGTCTGGTCCGAATTGGAAGTCCTTCCTCTCTTGGTTGCAGTAGTTCCCTGGCGGAAATTGCCAATTAGCTCAATCACCAACTGGACATTGGACCTGCTACTAGCACCTGGTCTGTCGAGTCAGCCTCGACGTTGGACCGAAAAGGGTTCATACACCATCGGTAGAGGTGTATGAAGCAGGAGGAAGAACCAGCCAACCAAAACTGTGAAGCAGCTGTCTAAGGCCATTCGGTGCGGCCACCACCACCACATAGTGTCGCTGAAGGCAGCACCCCTTCCTTCTTCCCCTGTATGTCACTTACCTTCTTCTTTCCACCCCCAGGACTTCGTAGATGGAATGGAGTTCTGCTCCAGTGGCTTTCAAGGCCTTGACATCCAGCCTCCAGCCGGGCCCCTCTGGATCCTGGGCGACGTCTTCATTAGACAGTTTTACTCTGTCTTTGACCGAGGTGATAACCGTGTGGGGCTGGCCCCAGCCGTCCCCTAACGAGGGGCCTCCTGTCAGTGCCTGCTGCCTAACGCCCCTTGGAAATCCAGCTGGGCCTGTCAGGTGGGGGCATTATTCACACCTGTCAAAAAGTCCTTTCCAATAGATTGCATTTGTTCAGAGGGGCAACTTCAATTAGAAATAAATACAGCTGAGATTGCACACGCGCGCGCGCACGCGCGCGCGCGCACACACGTGCTCACACATTTCCATATATCACCACCTCTACCACCATCATGATAGGATTAAGTTGTATGCCCAAACTTTTTATTGCTTTCGGCTAACATTTTATTATGGAAATCTCCAATTATGGGGATTATGTATAGACGCAGAGATTATCCTATATAATAAAAGCATAGTATGCAAATTGTTCCTCTGGGAGTTTGACAAGGGGGGCGGGGCCAGCCAGGGGAAGGGAGGGAGTACCCGGCAGGCAGCCAGCAGCTGCTAGGGACTTGGGCCTCCAGTAGCGTAAGAAATCCCTATGCACACCCCACCTGCACATGGCCAGGACTGTTTTTTTCTGCACCACCGCCCACTCCTCTCTCTAGCCCCACATACCTGGATTATTTTGAAACAAATTCTTAGCATCACATCATAAGTCACCACATCAAGGATTTATCCATAAATCCTTGTAACTTCCTAAATGTTCGGTGAGTGTTCAAGTGGTTCCTATTGTCTCATAAATGTTTGGTCACATTTGCAGTTGACTTGTGTGTATCAGGATTCGAAAGTCCACAAATTACACTTACTTGAGATGTCTCTTATGTCTCTTTTCATCTGTCGAGTTTACCACATTCTGAACTTTGCAGAGTGTCATGTAACGTGGTTCTCTGGACTCATCTTCCCTATAAAATGATAGTTGGATCTAGGGGCCTGATTTTGTGGCAAGAATACTTCATAGGTGGTGCTGGGCCCATCCCACTGTAACCCATCAGGAGACAGTAATGCTTGGCGCCTGTCTGGTAGGAGTGGTAGGGATGGTGAGTGGGTCCCAGAGTTCTCAGCCTCATCCATCCATTTATGACAAATTTCCCTTTGGTATTTTTTGAGAATTTTTCCCTTTATTTTATTTTATTTTATTTTTGGTATTTTACCTCAAGGTGTTTGCAGCCATTGATGATCAGTGCTTCTCCACGGTGTCATTAGGAAGGGATACAAAACAGGGATTTTTCTAATTCTGTTTTTCCTCCTGTATTTGTTAGCTGGGATTCTTTTCTAAAAATAACTAAAACAATAAAATAAAAATAACTCTTTTACTCGTAGACACAGAGAATAGATTGCTGGTTGCCAGAGGGGAGGGGAATTGGGGAACTGGGCGAAAAAGGTGAAGTCCAAATTGATAGTTACAAAACAGTCACAGGGATGTCAAGTACGGCTTAGGGAATATACTCAATAATGTTGTCATAACTATGCATGGTGCCAGGTGAGTACTGAAAATATAGGGGGAAATGCTTTATAAAGTATATAATTGTCTCCAGTGGTCGGCAAACTGCGGCTCGAGAGCCACATGCGGCTCTTTGGCCCCTTGAGTGTGGCTCTTCCTAAGCCTTAGGAGTACCCTAATTAACTTAATAATGTACCTACCTATATAGTTTAAGTTTAAAACATTTGGCTCTCAAAAGAAATTTCAATCATTGTACTGTTGGTATTTGGCTCTGTTGACTAATGAGTTTGCCAACCACTGGTCTAGCCACATGCTATACAACTGAAATAATAGAAAATAATATTAAATATGAGTTGTAACTGAAAACTAAAATTTTAAAAATAATAAAATAAAATAAGGCCCCCAAACCCCCTCTTTTATCAACGGTTTGCTCACCATGAGGTACAGCTCATACAGGAAAGGCAAAATTACTTGTTTTCCCCCCTTTCTTTACCAGTTTCAGAATAATGAGTGCTTCAGCTTACTGCAGTTTTTAGTGCTCAGTCACCCCACCTTTACTTAGCCAGTGGGCCCTGAACTTTTTACTTCACACAATACGAAGAGTTGTTCCATAGAAGCATAGAGCAGACTGTGGAATCTCAGAGGGAAGGTGGGGGAGGGTGGGTGGGTGGGAAGAGATCAACTAAAGAGCTTGTATGCATATATGCATAACCCATGGACACAGACAATAGGGTGGTGAAGGCCTGCGGTGTGGGGTGGGGGCTGGCTAGAAGGGGTCAATTGGGGGAAAGGGGGACATATGTAATACTTTCAACAATAAAGATTTAATTTAAAAAAAAAGACTTGTTCCATTTTCCAAAGAGTCCTGGTACCGTGAAGTGTGTTTATATGTTTGTTGTAAATGGAAATATTTCATAGTACGGGGGGTGAGAGATGGAGAGAGAGATATTACAGGATACAGTGAGAGGCTCTGAATGAACCCTTCCCACGTGTGGGGCCCAGGGTCGGTCCATCGGTCCATCCGTCCATCCCGAGGAAGCAGACGTGGAGAATCCAGGTCTGAGGCGCACCCCCCACTCCAGTGGGATCTCTTGCCACCAGAAACAACTTGTCTTTCTTTTCCTTCCTTTCACTTTTTTTTCCAAATGGAAGTATCTTCATGCTTTTTCTTATTATAAAATATGTGAAAGTCCTTCATGCTCCTCCCCCTTGGAGATAAGCATTATTATCATTTGAATTTGTGTAATACAGACTTTTTTTTGCCCAGAGAAACAGATGAAGGTGAGTATTGGTAAGAAAGCCTTGCCCTTTCTTCAGGAAAAGACACCATACTCGTCCCTAAACTGTTCTTCATTCAACAGCAGACCCGTGTCAGACAGACAACTCATTCCTTCTCACGTCTGTACGGTGTCCATTACTTGTCAAATTCTCTCTTAACGAACATTAGTTAATTTGGGGTTTAATTCAACCCAATCTAATCAACACTTATTACTTATTTTGTGCCCAGTGCTAAGCGAGGCCCTCTAAGACCCGGGAGACAACCAGCCCTGGCCGTCCCTTTGGGCAGTAGGGGTCGTGGAAAACACGCCAGGCTCACAGATAACCTAGATCACATCTGGGCTCCACCTCTCACCAAACTGGTGGCGTTGGCTAATTCCTTCATGTCCGTCAGATCCACCCCCAGGACTGCTGGGAAGGGTCAGAGCTTCACCTGGTGGGAGTGTGGCTCATGCTGTCAGCGGCCCTTCCCCTTCAAGTATCTTGGTCATGGCTCCCACACATATACAGTGGGGCCTTGACTTACGAGTTTAATTCGTTCCGTGACAGAGCTCGTAACTCAAATTACTCGTATGTCAAATCAATTGTGAAGAGTGAGAGACGTGATGCTGGGCTGATGTTGTGGCGTTCACTGTGACGTTCGCTGCGCCAACTAGTGGCGGGGTATCTGAAGCTGGTTCATAACCCGAATTTTAGCTCGCAACTCAAAGCAAAAAATCGGCCAAGAGACAGCTCGTATCTCGAAAAACTTGTTAGTCGGGACACTCGTAAGTCAAGGCCCCACTGTATAACTGTTTTTGTGGGGTTTTTTCTACTTATTTTCTTCACTGACTTATTGCTTTTAGATTTCATTAAGAACAGCCTGATCCAAATAAGCTCTCCAAGTAGCATAATAGAGTGGTTAGCAACACAGGCTCCGGAGTCAGACAGCTCCTGGCACCAGGGCGGGACCTCTGCACCTCAGTTTCTTCATCTGTAGAATGGACGTGGTAACAAGAACTGCCCCTGGGGTTACTGAGAGGATTCAACAGCATGATGCATGCGTGGGAAACCTTAACTAGCTTGTATGTCTGTGCTCGCCCAGGGCCCGACTGGCCTGCACCCAGCACAGGCACATCGCACACCAAGCAGAAGCCCCAGAGTAAAAAGGCTGAATGACTTTTCCTCTAAAACAAGCACTCCAAGAGCCAAGTAGAAGCCGATGGTTAGAGAGCACCCTGCAGGCTTTCTCCCTGCAGGGCCTGGGCCTCCCTGGTGTGTTGATGAGCCGCCTGCCTGGTGCCAGGAGGCTCTGGGATGGGGGCCTGGAGTATGAAAGTGACACTTACACCACACGTGCAGGAAGTGAAAGCAACTCAGTCCTCAGGCTGCCCTAACCCAGTTCCACTCTGAGCACACTGGTCCCTCAGGGCAGAAGTGACACTTCTGTCAGCATGAGCTAAACACCGCCTCTTCCTCCCCCCGCCCCGCCCCCCCTTTGTAAACCTTCTTAGCCCTATTAGCTGCTGTGAGTTTCCCAAAACTGACCTTTGCTCTGTGTGACCTTCACATCTGTGGTGCTGGTCCTTGTCCATGTGCTTGTCCCATGACCCATGTCTGATTCTAGTCACAAACCTCTCAGGGAGGGGCCTAGTGCTTTGGCCAAGCTTCCCTGTGCCATGGGAATTGTCAAAGGATGCTAAATCCATTTCCTAGGGCTGCCGCAACCAGTGCCACCGACTGGGTGGCTTAAAATAACAGAAATGTATTGTCTCACAGTTCTGGAGGCTAGAAGTCCAAGATCAAGGTGTCAACAGGGCCATCCTGGCTCTGAAACCAGTGGTGGGGAATTCCTCCTTGCCTCTTCCTAGCTTCTGGCAATCCCTGGTGCTCCTGGTCTCGTAGCTACAACCCTTCCATCTGTGCCTCTGATGTCACATGGTGTCCCCCTATGTGTCCATGTCTCTGTCTTTTCTCCTCTCTCATAAAGTCGCCAGTTATATTGGATTAAGGTCTGTCCTACTCTAGTCTCAGCTCATGTCAACAGACCGACCCTTCCAGGACCCTGTTTTTAAATAAGGTCATTCTGAGGACCTGGGAGCCCAGACTTCAACATACCTTCCGGGGGACACAGTTCAACTCATGACAGATGCTTTGCTAACGAACTGCTCTTAAATTTGATTTTTGGTCTCTTAAAATCCTTTCAGAAGCTTTCTGATATTTTATCTTTCTTTTCCTCCCCCCATCCCCCTCACAACAAATCTGTGAATTAGGCAGAACAGCTTTTATTACCCTGTTTTCTAAATGGGGAAATTGGAGTGTAAAACAATGAAACAGTTAGTTAAAAGTAGAAGTG